AAACATACTCACACCTCCCCATCTTCTTTTACACACTCAGGTTCTGCCAACAAAAGTCTGGTCTCCGGATCATCCACAATGTCGTCTTGAAGACAGAGAACACAAGTCAGGGTATTGAAAGCAACGATTGGCATGCTAAGAAAATGTTTACAATGTTGTGCTATGGTGATACCAATTTTATCAGAGATTTTTGCAAAATTTCAATAAAGCAATGCAGTCTAGGCAAAACAATTTTAGTCCTCCAGGCATCCCTTGATACTCCAAATACTATGCGAGCCACAAATTCAACTTCTGAAACTGGGCTGGTTCACAATTCAGACAATGAATTTTAAACTTTCAATCAAATCACTGCATGGATAAATGAAAAAATTTACAGTAGCAACAAAGTCAAGAACTTTGCTTCATCTGCTGGTGCCAAAATGTCAGGATATTTTTTTTGCAAATCATAAAAAAATCAAGCAGGCTAATATGAGAACCAAGAAAGACCATTAATTTTAAAAAAATTGGTGTGGTCACTGTAAGATTCACTGTAAATTACGATTTTTCACAGTACTTTGAATTCGTATTCACGGTTTTCACGGTCACTTCTGTGCCACGAACTTATCATAACCGTGAACAAATGATTTGCCAACTTTCTTTTTGCTGCACCTGCTGCCTCCACATAAAGTGATTTACAGTAATTTGTGTATCACCAACTGCAGGAAATATTAACTGCAGCAAAAATTACTTAAGGTATAACTGTCAATTGTGAATTAAAGATCTAGGTAAGTTCCTCGATACTGTTACAAAATGTTATCGGCCAGATGTCTTAACTTACAACATACAATATAGCAAACAGGTATGATATTTTGGTATCAAATGCAGTGAAGGTTTGTCTTCAAATTTGAATTCTATCAGAAAGTTGTGCTATAATCTATTTCTATCTTTGAAGAATTTGACTTCTTTGTCTTTGAATTTAGACAAAGTGGGCAAAACCTCATGATATGACACATTCCATCATCAAGAAAAAAACACTGCAGAACACTTTTCTTCACTGATCTGTCAGACTGTAGAATCTGACACAAGATAAATCATACCTGTTTATGTTTGGGGAGCATTAAGTTTATACTGTATGACAGTGTTGATTTGTATTACTTAAGAATCAATGACATTCAGGCAATGCTGATATGTTAATCAAAGAATATACAACCGATATATATCTAGTAGTTTGTTTGGAAAGTGTCAGGCAAGTAAAATTCTTACTGAAGTGTGAAATTCAATGTGGTTGGCATTGTCTGTTGACTGAGCATCAGTCCATCTCAGTTAAAATACTGTTTACTTGAAATTGGAAACATCCAAATTTCTCGAACTTTCATATTTTGGTAGGAAATTGATGCTATTTGCAAATAAAACTAAATAAAGCTGAATATCACATGCATTATTATTTATTTTGAGTGTATAGCTTCTACTGACTGTCTTTACTGAAGAAAAGAAGTGGAATTTTGCTTCTTTAAATGTCTGATAGTGTTCAAAATCTACATTGTATCCAGTTGCTTGAGTAACAGTTTTCTGCTGAATATGCATCTCATCACCTGCATGTTTAACCTCCATCGAATCAGATGTACTTATAGCTAAATCTGATTACATTTTACAAAAAAAGGGTGTAGCCAACCTCAAAAAAATTGTCACTGATGGCATCATGGCACTATGTAGGTTAAACCTTTGTAACAATTGTCTTTAACCTTTAAAATGTATGTTTGGAAATACAAACTTACCAGTTCAATGTCTTGGTCTTCTTCTGTGCTGTCTCAAATGTTCTCTGTGTCTTCAAGTCAACTGGTTTTCTAAGCCCTCATTTGGTCTGCATTGGACAGGAGTCGCCGGTCATCACAGGTTTCTCCCAGTCAGCACAGGAACGTCAGGACACACCTACATTTAATAAGGAAAGGATAATTAGTGTGATGCAAAAACATCTCCCATTCAACACTGAATGGCCATTAAATGATAGATAAGAAACTTGAACAATTGAACTATCCCTTTGCTTATCAATAAATCTGATGTAGAAAAATGAAAAATGCTGTATTAAACATTGATTAAAAAATCCAGGCTGTGTGTTATTAAATCTTTCAAGTTACAGTGACTGTAGGTCTGACATATTAGCAACATAAAGAAGTTACCAAGTACTCTAATATACAGATGTAACAAGTTACACACTTTCCTCAAATACACCTAGCAAGTGGAATTTGCAAAATGCAGAATTAACATTTTTCTCACCTGATATTCTTCTACTGTCTTCTGGGGTCACCTGGTCTGGTCTGGTCTGGTCTGGTCCAATCCAGTCTTGTCAGCCTCAGACAGGAATCATCACTACTACATCAGTCAGCAGCCACCTAACTATGTAGAGATACCAAGTTACACACTTGTCTCAATTAATCAAGCAAATGGTACGCAAAATGCAGCGTTCCAATTTTCCTCACCTGGCCTGATACTCCTGTATCTGATCACTTGGTGCCTCTGCCATCACAAGTCTGATCTCATCTGGACAGGAACACTTGCAGAGCTGGCAAACCCTCAGCACACAGCTACGTAAACTACAGAATCACATGAAAACAAGGTCAAGTTACAAGGTGTTATCAGCCCTGTCATACACAGACAACTTAGTAAAAAGCTTAACAACTACTAGTAGACCAGAAACTTTTGATGCCATTATTGAAGAGCTTAAAAGTCATGTTTAAAACATACAGCTAACACTCAATCACCTAACTGTATAAAGAATAATCAATTTAGGGTATTGATTAGCCGTGGCGACTCTTGATTCGGGCTTACATTGCATTACCCTCTTGTCTGAGGGTAATGCAATGTAAGCCCGAATCAAGAGTCGCCACGGCTAGGTATTGATGAGAAAAATTGTACCCAGGAGGAGACTTGTCATATAACTTTTAAGACTTCCTATGCATTTGTAGACACTCAAGGGTACTCTGTACAGTTGGTTTAATCTAACACAATGTCATGTATGTTAATATTATACTAACTGTACACATGTACATAAAATTTAGAGGTTTACATGTATTTTTGGTTTTATAAACTTGAGAATGTTCGATTTTTAATTAGTTGGTTCTACCAGAGACATTGTCCTTGGTTCTACGATTAAACAAAAAACAAATCGGATGCATGTCACAACATTACAGAATTCCTATCCAATACCTAAAATTATTGAAGCTTAAAAAACAGACTTTAGGGCAAAAAATGAGGATTTTGGGGTTGACACACAACCTGAATGTTACAAGTACACGTTTTTTTAATCAGGAAAAAAGGCTGGCAAATCCAAGAAACAACAAGTTAAAGTGGTGTTTCTTTGTCTGAAATACCTAGCCAAATGAAATGTTGGATGCGATAAGCAAAATTTCTAGTGTTTTCCATGAGGGAAATTCCCACAAATATTCTACCCATGTTTCCTTTCTGTATACAGAAACAAAAGTCCATTTTTTTTCTCTTGAAAATTTAACTCAAGAGTAGCAATACCTAACTGTCCTAACTGATATTCTGGGAGAAGACGTGAAGAGTGAATATCACAGTGAGATATATATTTGAAACAACAACGACCCAAAACTACACAAACTATCGTGTTGCATTCTCAAAATCACACAAATTTACCACGAATATACCGAAACGTGTTGTTATCAGTTTGTGGGAAATAAATTCTACGGCACGACTTGTTGCCTTACCTTGTGAAAACTCTGCCCTCCCCACGACCACGCCGCCATCCTTCGGGCGCCATTTTCTCGTCTTCTCCAAAATCCACCACGTCAGGAAATCCGAAATTTCTTCGCCAAAAATCCAGAAAACGGCACAACTCCGCCGTAGAACCATCCCCGAAGATTTCTTCTACACGTTACAATGAAGATGTCTTGAACTGGAAGCCGAAAATTTACCAAAAGTTGACATATAATTCCTGGTCTTCCCCGCGTGGCTTCGACAGACGCAGACTGAGTGGACTGTGACTTTTACACAGCTGTGTACAACAGCTGGTCTAATTTACCCTGATAACCACAACTACTTTACCGCCAAAAATCAATCCCCACAATAAAATAATGGCACTCTGCTCAACATTTCGGACTAGTTTGTGTCAAAATAACACACAGGCAGTGTCAGCAGCAATAAGTATTCAATTTGGTCAAAGTATAGTAGCCGGAATCTGCTAATTCAATCAGCCTCGGCACCACATGTTTCTAATGCAAATGGTACCTATATCCTTGGTGCTGAACGCCATCCTCATAGTAAAACACACAGTATGTATGGTGAAAACCACACGCGCGCGCTCGCTTTTTGAGCGTCCGTAAAGTACAGGGACTTGTTAAAGCTGGCCAAACCTTACAGAAAAAAATGGCATGCACTTGAGGGAGGTAGGAGTGGAACTGTCAACGGTCTGCGATAAATTCACAATAGCAGCGGCTACATGTTACGTTGCATTCGGGCAAGCTGATTCCTCCTACATGAAAATCTACTATCACTAAAATCACTAATATAGCTTTTTTTAAGCTTTTCATAGACTTCACCGATTACATACGCTATATGCTGTTGTATATGAACCATTTAGTCGTCTGGCTACGAATTATGTACATGTAATATCAAAACGGCCGATTACGCCCCAGGCTTGCAGGCATTCTTCCCAACAAGTTTAGGTGCAAACGGTGCCTGTCTACTTTGGAAGACCAGCATAATTCGTAATCACTACCCCCCCCCCATGCCCTCATATATATATACATATAGCAAACTGTAAAACACAATGGGTGAATCGCACTCTGAACATAGCAGGTGGAGCCCAAAAGTCGTATACATACTGCTCAATAACAACCCGCCAAAAGGAACATCTGAAGGAAACTTCATTTATTGATGAATAAACGTTTCTGCTCTATGCTCACACAATCACACACACATGTATGTATGCATGTATGCATGTATGTATGCATGTATGTATGTATGTATGTATATATATATAGCAAACTGTAAAACACAATGGGTGAATCACACTCTGAACATTCCAGGTGGAGCCCAAAACACTCGTATACATATACTGCTCAATAACAACCCGCCAAAAGGAACATCTGAAGGAAACTTCATTTAGTGATGAATAAATGTTTATGCTATATGCTCACACACAAATACACGCACGTGTACACATGCAAGCAGGTTGCCTACAGTATTAAAGCTTCTATCAAGAAGTTGTTTCCATGTCGTTTTCCATGTCCGTTCGATTCCCTCTCTTTAATGAAAAGAGAAATTTTTCAGACCAGATGTTTATATCTTCGGAGCCTCAGCTTTGCGCTTCAGGTTGGCCAGGTCACGTGTCGCGTGGTTGTAGGTCTTCACCAATGACGCGACGCTTCGCACTTTGGAGTTGAACCACTTTCTGGCTTGCTTCTGGGCATGCGCAAGGACGGCTTTCCCGTTGGGTGCCTCCTGGCGGAGAAGTTGTTGAAGTTCAGCCTTCCTCTTTGCAGCAGCCGTCTTCAGTTCCTTGGCGGCCTGGATAGCAGATTTCTTCGCCTGAGAAGACTTCTTGATGATGTAGCTGTAAGGCCCTCCGAACATCCCATGATCTATGACAAAGAGATGACGAGTTTTACAGATAAACATTGTAAGTGCCACATTGAGTACCTAATGTCTGAGGGAATTAGATAATGGGCTATATAAAAGTGCACTATAAAGTGAAACAAAAAAGGAACAGAAAACCAAGAAGGAACCAAATCATATGTGGAGCCCCAACGGTTGAACAATTGGTTACGGGAGCATGTTAACTTCCCATTTATGCAAATTAAGTCAATGCAAATTAGGATAATGTATGAAATCCCGTAACCACATTTGAACTAAGATATAGTTAAGATGAGATAAGTGTACATAAGCAGGCCTTTTGGAATTTTTCTAAGGGCACTCATTGATATCGATGAAAATAATCCTGAGGTGAAAACATTGTTTGTTAGCATATTTCTTACTGTGTGACGCCAGTCTTCGATCTGACACGTTGTGACATGTCTACATAGCACTCACTGATAGGAATTGCAAAGAAAATGTCTTACCAATCAAGTATGGATCAGTTGGATCCACGTGGGGTTCAGGGAATCCACTGTGTTCCGGGAATCCGTGAGGATCCGGAAATCCGTGAGGTTCCGGAAATCCGTGAGGTTCCGGAAATCCGTGAGGTTCTGGAAATCCGCCAGGCATACCAAAACCATCTGGCAGCGGCCCTCCATTGTGCTTTGACCCTAATAAATATAGAAGTGCATATTTTTCTTATCTCTATCATGTTACACTGCAAAAATCCTGAAAGAACACTGCACGGCTCAAAAGAGACATCTAATGACTGAGCTGAATATTGCAACATGGACATTTGATGACAATCCAATACATGTATATTAGCATTACATTACATATCGTAAATTGAGTTTGCTAGAGTGCAGGTTGCAGTACCTAAAATCAGCTGCGTAGCGTCTCTTTTGAAAAGTAGATTTTTCTTCCCCAGAGTATGTACAAATTGTCCTGCATGGAGAAGTAAGTTGTCACAGCCCATTTTACACTAAATTACAGTTCATACTTACCATTAAGCATGGCCATCAGGTCGTGAATTGGTAAGGATGACACGGATTCCAGGAGTCCAACAATCACAGGCACTTCTATATGTACAGAAAAAAAAGATGCAGCACTGTGATAAACCCGAAACAACAAGAACAATACACTTGAATTAAGGAATTTGACGTAAATCATCGACAAGTTAGCAAAACAGGTCGTTCTTTAGCATCTTTGTGGAGATAAAATTATTTCTTACCTGCTCCAGGTCCCAGGAAAGTTGTCGGGTCGCAAACGACGTGATGCCCTACATTATACAGACAGAAGAAAATGCACATTGTATAGTGGTGTTTTAATGACAACGTAACCAGGCTTACCCCATATTGTAATGCTGAATAGAAATGACCGATATTAATTTGCTAGAAGAATCTTGTTGACTGGGAGTGAAGACCATTGTGAAAAGCCATCAAAGTTTGCATTACAATATAGCATATTTAATATTTTCACCAAATATCATTCCCAGGTACATGATTATGAATGCACCCCGAGAAAGAATGAAACAGTGAATGAATAGGACAATAATAACATAATAAAACAATAAAATGTCAACACAAATGCTTGGTCTGGCGACTGGTGTTTATTGAACTATAATAACCCACCTCCGGATCCGTCACAGTGAAGCTCGTCGCTTCCGTCATGACAATCCGGATAGTCGTCACACTCCCAGGACTCCGGAATGCAGTATCCGTTCATGTCGTTGTCACACAGGAACGTACAGTTTTCCGGATAGTACACTGTAGATTATTTAATGAAAATGAAATAAATATGATATTAATATACAGTTCCCATTGTGGTGGTTTTGTAGAAGATACCCATCATTTAAAACTTTTTAGATACTTAGGTATAACTTCACACAAAAGCATATAATTAACACATAAGTATGTACTAAAGTACTAGATTACAAATTGATACCTATACAGTTCCAGAGATTATTGGTTATCATCTTCCATTACATTTGCGAACAAACAAACAAACACACGCACACACACACATACCTGTCCTTGGTGCTGAACACCATACACACACACACACCATGAAATACATACCTATGTACATATGAAATAATTTTATACCTACCATCCGGTCGGTAGGCACTTGGTGGTATTGGGTAGTGAGTGGGGAATCCTGTAGGACCAACTGTGGTGAAATATAATTATTAGGGATACATTGGAAGAATATTCAACAAAGAAAAGTGAGTCCCACTAAAAATTTTTAAGAACATAGTAAGGTCAAGAAATAACTTGAAAGTTGAGACAGTCATGCAAATATCGTTGCAATCGTTTCACCATTTTTTTCAAAAGCATTTAGAGAACTTTATAAATATAATACACATATGTATCTTCAATGACTGTGCTCCTGTATTGTGATAACCTTTAACCTCTATTTATACAATGTGGCTATTTCTAATTCTTTAAAAAATGTCAAGACAGTTTAAACTAAGTCAGAAAGCCATTACCTGCTTCGCAGTGCTGCTCGTCAGTGCCGTTGGAACAATCCGGATATCCGTCACACTGCCAGGAATCCGGAACACAGTAGTGGTACGCGTCATTTGGACAGAAGAAGTTGCAATCTTCCGGAACATACCCGTGGTCTTAAAAAAACACACCAAACAGGTTTTCGACCATACTGTAAATTGTACAAAATGAATGTACAGGTGTTGCAAAAAAAAGTATTGGAAAACGATACTAATGTCATAGAATGCCAAAATCAGGAAAAGAAAATGTAAAGTAATGAAAATGAAGAGTCTGTTATCATTCGCCATACCATGCCCTGTGTGTTTAGTCATTTTGTTCCACCTCCGTGATCACGTAGATTTTATAATGAAGAAAACTCTTTTTGCCAAACTTTTTTTATTCCCACGCTCGCGTCAGTTTTGGGGTTCCCAGAGGAATGTCATCCATATAATCAAATCAACATGTCCTTAGGCATACACACAAAACCCACAGACAAGCCCATCCTAAACAATACTTCCATACACGAAGGTAATAACTTGCATCATTGTTTTTGTTTGTACCTGGTCCCGGATAGGTGCCCGGCCCGCCCATGATGGGAGGGGGGTGCACGGTGTAGAGCTCAAACTCAGGGACTGGTTCACCTGTGAACAAAATGGGCGAAATTATAAGGGCCCAACATATTCTAATGGCTTTTCATGCACCGGCACGTTTAGCAAACGCCTTGATTAGCCTGACAATATAAAGCAAGATCCGTCGATGAAGGTTAGACATCCAGGTAATAAGATGATGCCCAAAGTGTTATTCAAGCAACTGGATAAGATGCGCGATCATATGATTTAACTGCATATTTGTGGCATGTGCTAGCATGGGTGCCAGACTGTTGCCAGGGGTAGTGTACGTGAGGCTATCTCCTTGGCTTGGAAAATATTACCATAGGCACCCCGTCAGGTAGATTCTGAGAGATAAAGTAGGCCCCAAGTTCTAACATTAAGCTGGTGACTGTTACACCGAAGGGCGGTTATACCGGCTATACCGATACAGATACAGAACACTGAGAGTGGGGCTTGCGGCTTTCCCTAGCCGAAGAGACTACTAGTATTGTGCCGAGCCAGGATCTGGCATCCAGGCTATATGTGCGTAAGGGAGCCGTTAACCCGAAGCTAAGTAACCCGAAGTTTTCCTTACTTCCCCAGCAGTGTAACTCGTCCTCTCCGGTAGTACAGTCCTCATCTCCGTCACACACATAGGACTGGGGGATACAGCTGGAGTAGTAGGAGTAGGTCGTCTCACAGGCATAGTCACAATCATCTGGTAAAAAGAAAATAATAAACTAGAAATGGAATATTTGCAAAGCAAATGCAAAATTTTTACATGAACCTTCGTATTTGGTCAGCTCAAGATCTGTTAATCATTACTCAAACACATTCATATGTATGGTCGAACAGGAGTCTAAATCCCTCCTGCTGTAAAATTGCAACAGGATGTAACCTAATACTAGTTACCATGGTATACGGATAGGGATGGTAGAGGGATAGGGATAGTGGGATAGGGATTGAGGGATAGGGATTGAGAAATAGGGATTGAGGGATTAAGGCATAGTGGGGTAGGGATAGAGGAATAGGGGACAGTAACTACGCGACCGCAGGGCAAAAAAAAAAGTCAGGGGTCTGTGACCTGATTAAGACTCCAAATTACTTGAAACTAGAGGTCGGAGATCTCATGTCTTCGTCAGAGGTACATCGTTCTAGAGAAATTAACATGCGTATTCTTCACTCTTTTTAATAATCAATTTGGTCTAAAGAACAAAAGAATCTCTGTACTATTTTTATGGTACAGAACACCCTGAAACGGTTTGCCACAGATTATACAGATGCGTCGTCACCCATGTTAGCCCCCCCCCCCAACGTTATTTGAGTTTGGACTGTTACTGGGAAAAAAAACGTTCAAGAAATTCTTACTGTGTTGAAAGTGTCACGACAGCGCCGCAAAATATAATAAGAGAAGATGTTATAAAGGAAAGAATCAGAACAGGGTGACTACTGCTGTTTTGTTAATTTGTCTTTATGACAAATAGAAGACTTGTTTCTTGTGTTCTTTGTGTCCTAACATTTGTACTTCTACAGTTAGTATATTCCAAATCTAGGCATCTCGTTTTTCGGCCATTCGTGTTTTTATTGCGCGCTTGCCTTAAATTTAAGGTAATTAGATTTAAGGTCTCCAGTGGACGTCATCCATAGCAATTACTTGGTGTGGCCGTAGAAAATAATCTGACATATGTCCAACCTATCCTCCCCCTGCTGAAGTTATAGTACAATCCCTCAATGTAACGTCATTTGATCCCATCCCATTATGGGGTTCCCCGGCGGTAACGGCTATAGCCAGCTGTCGGCTGTCTCCAAGCAGATGTAGGTGGGGGATTTCTAAACACAAAAGGTCCTATTACGGGGACATAACGATCTCCACGACTCTCATCTTTGAACTCAATCTTGGAGATCACCACAGTAACATGCCTATCAAATTTCATTAACTTCCATCCACACATACAAAAGTTATCCTGCTCACAAGAAAAATTAACAAAATGCCCCCTGTAGTCACAACGAAACCCCCCACGAAGCTCAGTAACGAACTTAACCTTGGTCCCGACAATAGTTAGCACCACACCAAGAATTATAATCAACATTTTACAAATACTTGAGTTATTTTGCTAACAAGCCACAAACACAAAAGGTGCACTAACGTGACGCACGGACCCCCCACGAAGCCGAAACTTGTACTTGAATTTGGCCTCAACAATGGTAATCTGCCTGCCAAAAATCATGGACGTCGAATCATGCCTTCCAGAGTTATATCGCAAAATCCGCAGTTCCCCACACTCCGGCGAGACAATTTCATAGTCCTTCTGACGAAGACAAATATTGCGTGTAAAAAATGCCAACAGGATAAGGGTTAAAAGTACCTCCGAGCACGGCCTGACGGGACTCCTGTTTCTTCTCAGACCCCAAGACGCGGAGTTGTTCCATGACGTCATCAAGCAGCTTGAAACAGAACGGTAAAGGATACAGCAGTTAAGGACGGGTAAACACAAGAGTGACAGCGTTTAAGTACGATATGGACGACGCACGACTTAATTTTATGGACGACATCCTCTGAAGACCCCAAAACTAGTGCACGCGGGCGAATAAAAAATCCGACCAAAAATAAAAATGCTACTAAACCACAGGAATATAAAGTTGGTATTAATTGTGAATTTGCCGCAGTACATAGTGACGTATACGACTACCCGGTACATGCTGCCTTTTGCGGAATTCATGAATCAGCACTGTACTTATGTACTGAGTTCTTGAGTCGTAGTGGAGCTTTGGCAACCCGGGTGCCGTACCACCGGCCCCGTATTGTCGCTAACTACGATGGACTACCCAGGCCTGTAGCTTGGCCAGAGCCTAGGAGGACGAAATCTCAACAACAATAAGGCAGTCCAGAAAAGAACAAGAAACAGTCATGCCTTCAAATATCAGAGTTATCAACCAAGAACTGATCAGGTGTTCAAAAACTCGCATTTTTCCCAGAACTATCGTAGAGTGGAACTCGCTGCCACCAAGCACAGTTGGGGCATCATCACTAGAGAGCTTTAAACAACTTCTGCAATTAAATGTGCAAAGATTGAGGTGTGACAAGTCGTTCGGTGTAATGTAGCCAGCTGCGAAGCTGGTGTGTTACGCCGAAGGGCAGTTATGTCCGGCTATACAGATACAGATACAGAAGCTGGGTGTGTTACGCCGCAGGGCGGTTATACCGGCTATACCGATACAGATTAAAACAGTTTACTGGTAGAAAATGACTAAAAACTTGCCCTTGATCACAAGGAAAATGCCCTTGATCACACTACCCGAAAACTGCAAGAGTTTGCATGATTGTGGGGCATGATTTTGTTTTATCCCATGGCCAGAAAAATTGAAGTTTCTGATCTAGTTTTGTTCTTTAATCAGGGATAAAATCTTGAATCAAATCAAAGAAATATACAAGGATTGTCAGTTTAAAGAAAAGAACATATGACTGGTGGAACGTACCTTCTTCTTTTGTTTCTCCGATGCTTCACCCCCGGCGGCGTCCCCGCTCTTCTTCACCGGACTTCCCTCCAACGCCTGCGTTACAAGAACCACCACGGAGAGCGCAACTACAAACCAGCGCATGGTGGTCTCTCAGGCCTGAAACACATTCATCAAAAACCTATCACTCTCTTTTTATGTCAACATCTTGGTAATACGTCTCTAGATTTGGAAAAGCAAAGAATACTAGTACTTTCGCTAGTTCAAATGCATGATGTCGTTGCACCGTAGTTTCGTCTTACCACGAAACTATGGTTAACTTTGTCCGGAAAAGAACTTTTGCAAGGCCACACCGTCTTAATTTTATGGATGACATCCTCTGAAGACCCCCAAATTAGTGCACGCGGGCGAATAAAAAAATCCGGCCAAAAACAAAAATGCTACTACTGGTATCATGAATTTGCGGCAGTACATGGCGAAGTATACACGTTTGCGCGGCACATGCTGGATTTTTGCAAAATTTATGAATCGGCACTGTACGTATACATGTACTCTGTTCTTACTCGCCTTCGGTAGCCTGGGTGCCATACCCTACAGAGTTACCACCGGCTCCGTATTGTCGCTAACGACCACCGACTACCCAGGCCTAGAGCCAGGCGAGAGCCTTGGAGGGCGCGATCTTTTTTTTTTTTTTTGAGAACAGGTGAAAATCAATGCGCGCGCGGATGTCATCCATAAAATTAAGTCGGTGTGGTCTAAATTACTACAAAATCGGGGGCAAAAATGAGATAGAAATAAAGGCAAATCAATACATTACCTTCTTAGAAGATCGACTGTAAAGTGAGACAGTGTTCCTGGGCCCTAGACTGTATACCGGCAATGTTCGATGTTGTGATGACTCTGGCTGTACCGTCGACTGTGATCTTTCTTCCACTGCGTCGGCTTTTATAGAACAGCTTGACCAAAGGCGCGGTAAGTCTTTAAAAGTCCAGATAAACCTCTCGCGTCTTGAAAGCTTCTTAAGTGCCAATTAAGGTTTCCACAGGTGAGTAACCTGCCTGAACAACTCTTTGAACTAAAGACGAAGCCACGGTTTGGTAATCTTCAAGTTCTATGGAGAAATGCAGGTGTTAAAACAAATTTCTTCATCCTAGGGGAAAACAGACGTGGTCACCATGGTACGTAAAACATCACCTTCTAACGGTAGCCTTTATTCGTACCAATTAGGCCACACAGACTAAGTTTTATGGATGACATCCTCTAAAGACCCCCAAACTAGTGCGCGCGGGCGAATAAAAAAATTCCGGCCAAAAATAAAAATGGCACTAACCCACAGGAATACAAAGCTGGTATTGTGAAATTGCGGCATTACATAGCGAAGTATACGACAAGCCGGCACATGCTGGCTTTTTGCGGAACTTTTTTAATCGGCACTGTACGCATGTACTGAGTTCTTGAGTCGTGGAGTTTCGGTAGCCTGGGTGCCGTCCTCCAGAGTTACCACAGGCTCCGTATTGTCACTAGCTACCATGGACTACCCAGGCCTAGAGCCAGGCCAGAGCCTCGGAGGACGTAATATTTTTTTTTAGAACAGGCGAAAATCAATGCGCGCGCGAATGTCATCCATAAAATTAAGTCGGTGTGGCCTTATACAACGAAGACTTAAAGATGACGTTTGTAAGATTGTAGTTCAAACGCCACCGAGGTGGTTAAGGAATTCTAAACGTGCTTTGTGTGCTACACTTGGAAAGAAATTCAACCGCGTTCACTTTCTAGTCGGGCCGAACCCCTCTTTCATGCACAATCCATCAAAGACAGGGTTTCCTGACCTAACCCAGGTGAACGCGGCTAAAGAAGGTGAAATGGTTCTCGAATTGTTTGGGTGACGGAGTCTACAAAGACAAAAGAAAGGCAGACCTTTCCTGTTAAGTTAGGTACCAAAGCTCATCCTTTAGGTTACAGCAAGTACATTTTATGGATGACATCCTCCGCAGACTCCAAATCTAATACGATAGAGCGAAAAAAAGCGGGCAAAAAAAACAAGATTCCTACATTCTCAAATTTTGACATCGTAAACCTTGTTAAGCAAGAAATGATACCCATATTGTGCTACGTTTACTGCCAACTATTACAACATACATTTGTCACTGAATTGAAACAACTTTGAAAAACAAAGGTTTCCATCAGTGTACAAATGGTTTTGATTCGGTGAGAACATAAAAGGAATGAAATACATCACTGCATCAAAGTAAAAGACAAAACTATCAGAGCCTTGTCTTGTCTTCTCTCTTCATATATACCTCTTCATATATACATGTATCTGCCATCCACGTTCCGGCATGGCAACAGACATCTTTGCCCATTTGCAGCATGTTGACCACTGTCAGAGGGCAACAGAATTTATTTTTTCTAAAATCACGCGAAAATTATATAATGCGCGCGCTGATGTCATCCATAAAAATTACTTGCCTTACTTCCAAAACCCAGTCACGACTACACATGCTTTCTCTAGTTTTGCTGCAATGTTGCTGTCAACTTTGAAAAAAAAATGACGCCTCGGCAACTTTTGAAGTGGAAAGCCTTCCGGTGGTTTGTCATGACGTCATCATCTTACTGAAGAAGCCCTCTTCACCTACTTAAAGTTCCCACCTGGTCTCCACCCTTGGTTGTGTTCCTTTTCTTCTCATACCGGTCCGTTTGACAAATTAAGTACGGGGATGGCTTGGCCAATCAGGCGTGAGCGCGTGGGCGTGGCAAAATGCGGCCCGCCCATTGGTCCGTTTGTGGCGATTTTACACCAAAAATCATGAGATCCGTCAACCAGTTCTTGTGTTATCGTCTTTTGAATATTTTTCAAACAGATAGCCTTGCAGTTCCAGAGCAAGCCGCTAGGGGGCCCAAACTCACGTCACTTCTTCCCTAGCACAAGAGCTACCATACCTATTAAGTATCAAGACAATCCATTTAAGCCTTCTCAAGTTATGGTGTCTACAGACGCACACACACACGAACGCCTCTGAAAACATAACCTTCTTGGCGAAGGTAATAAGGCAACAAAAACATGAAATCTGTGAGATGATTACGTCATTATTTGCTTACTGATACATAAGTACACTTTATCTCTGTGTGTATATAGTTGTGTATCTTGTGTCAATTTTATATACTGTATATATACTGTAAATACTGTACTAGTGATATTTTCTATCTATTAAGTATCAATATAACATGTAGCATTTGGCCCAGTATAACATAATCTTTGTGACGTAATTACAAAATGTATCGTCCACAACTAGTAGTGAGTAGATTACGTCATAAGATTGAAGAGAGTTTGAAAACTGCTTATAGTCAGTCACCGGGAATTCGAAAACTGCTTATAGTCAGTCACCGGGAATTCGAAAACTGCTTATAGTCGCAGTTACCGGACGTTGCAATACCGGTTACCTACCACTGCCTGACTCTGTTGTAGATAGTATTGACATAGATATAACTTGCTATTATATACATTTGCAAGATATGTATATAGTTAACTACATAGGGCACATAAGTACAATGTAGCATTTTTCGAAATTTTTTCATAGTCAATCTGCTCATAGTCAGTCACCGGACGTTGCAATAACCTTCCACTACCTGTCTCTGTTCCAGGTAGTATTGACATATATAGATTCCCGTTTCCGTAAGCATATAAGGCTATTATATATATTTGCTAGATATGTATAGAGTTAACTGCATAGGGCACATATAAGTAGCATTTTTTCAAAATCTTTTCCTCAACCATGTTCTATCTTTTTTAAATATCAATAGTCACCACGTAACAACACCGGAAGGCAACTTTAGGTTTTGCGGGTTACGTGAATATAGTACTTGTACGGCATCTGTTAGTCCCTAAGTCAGAAACACCAATCACAATGCTCGAGACAAAACTCGACTCAACCAATAAGGTCACTAACTGGCCCAATTAGAGAAACTAAATAAAGAGCATTGTCAAAATGAAATATCATTTTTGGTTGGAACGATATACACTCTTGAAGTTTTTTTTTTAATTCCTGATGATGGCCGATTGAAAGGATCGAATATTCATCTATCCTTTTGTGTTAGATAAAAGTAAAAAAAAGAGACAATACATGTAAGTTTGAATATTAGATTACTATACCGAATACCTCCACAAGAGGTAAATATATGTGTTACCACATGCTACATATACGTCTATCTCCATCAGTTGTTAACGTTTGAAGGCGTGGTGAGCAGTTCCTTCATATCTGTGAAGGCCTGACGTAGGCTGCAGTACAGCTTCTCGACACTAGTCTCGGGGTCGCTCTTCCACGCGGTCATCGCAATGGTAAATCTGGAACCACAACAGGGAGGAGATTGTACAACGTTAGCCATTTTAGTTAATACATCCTTTTGTATCCAAAACCGTGCTTTATTCAAAACCTTGCTCAGGTACGTATGCGGTTCTGGATAGCCCAATGCGTTTCCAGAATCGTGCGTGGGGCCATCAACGTTCTTGGATACGCATGTGCGTTCTGGTTATCCAGAACCTTGCGGTATGCATCTACATTCTACGTTCCGGATATCCAGAAACTTGCATGATTTGAACCATGACTGATTCATAAATCTAGTCTAAGTAAGGGGCATATTAATTACTAGACTAACAGACCAACTCTCCAAGCAGGGGTTGAAGGGAGAGACAGGGTTCTAGCTAGGATGTAATTTTAGTGTAGTGATACTGGCCACCTATCGATGGGCTCTCCTTCCGCGTTGCTGAGCTTTTAAAAATCTGAGCTAAAAAAGGGGCCATTTGAGGGATACCCAAAGGGAAAAAACATTATTTCTAAGGTCTGTACAATGTATCCTTGATTGGTAATTTTTCACATTTGATCTGGCATTCTTGAACAAAGAAATACAGTCACAATGCCCCTATGCTGTATGTGTTTGGGGGGTGGAAATTTAGCGTAGGGGGTAGAAATTATAGCGTAGGGGGTGACATTTAGTGTAGGGGGTCAAAATTATAGCGTAGGGGGCCCCTGCGCTACTTTGCACTAGCTAGAACCCTGAGAGATCGTTATAGCTTGACTGGATCATTCAGGAGAAGGTGATGACTCTCCCCTCAACATCTGCTTGGAGAGAACAGCAGGCCTACATACATAGATAGTGTGAGGAAGATGGAAGATAAGAATTAGGATGTACCAGAATTAACCCCAAAAAAATTTACCGGACACAGCAAACAGACTTTTAACGTTAATCCGCGACAAACCAGAAGATAGCCAGCCCCTACCTACGGAGATGTTCTAACCTGTTTACTACGAAAGCCCACAGGGACAACTTTTGTAGGCAGTGAAATGGTTTACGTAGGCGATGCGAAATGGTTTGGAAAGGCGATGAAGTGGTTTGCGGAGGCGACAAAAGTGTCGCTGTGGGCCTTTGTAGTGTGCCATCAATGGCAAACTACATCCACAAACATTTCCACACGTGACGAAAATCAAAGCACTGTTAGGGAGATATGTCGATTAAGGTTAGACATCCAGGTAATTCGATACGCCAAAAAGCAGTTACTCAAGCAACTAGATACGATTTTGGAAACGGTCAGACGTTTCAGCTAGTATCCACTAGCTTTCGTCAGTGACTGAGAGACCAGAGGAGAAATGCAGGTTTCTAAGCACAAACTATTGATTGATATGCAAATAAAGTGAAGACAATTTTTTGCAAGTCGAAAAGGGAACAAAAGTCAGACAAGTAACAGTGTTAGGGAGTCTGTGGTTTTGTTTTCGTCAGGTTACCTCTGTGCTTCAATCTTGTAGATGGAGGCGTAGCCATGAGGCACCATGGGCACACACGCCCCTGAACAGGGGGTATACCCAACAAGACTGGTAGACAGCACAAAGTTACCCCCACCACCGCTAAAATAAACAGTTCGTAAAAAAAAAAAAAAAAGAATCACCACCAATGGAAGCAAGAAGTCATGCTTAGTGGAATGTGAAGCGTTTGTACCGAGCCTGATACTTCATAAAATGGCGACCAATGTCATCAAAGGTCATAGATATATGAATCAAACATCTATAGAATGCCTGCATGAATTCATCATCAGACGATTCCGATCTTTTTTTTTTCATTTTGGGAATTGACATGCGAAAATTTCACTGAGCTATCTTGAGGTATCAGACAGGGTACATATATGCATCTGGTGTGCACTTGTGGTGTGAGACCAACATGTACCCTCTTTCCACTGAGCACCCGTTCAGGCACGGCACTTTGCTGCGGTGTTCTCAACACACTGGGTGGAATTTGGACTACGCCTTTTGGTACAACACTTTGGCAAAGAATGTGTACCAGATGCCTGGGAATCTGAGACTGTGTAGCATTCAACGAGTTCCGTGCTTTGGATATTGTCCTGTCGACCATGCGCGGTACTGCAACACCCAATTCAGTCAGGTACTGCGCTTATATTGTAGTTGACATGAGTCTGAACTGCTATGTAGCTACTCAGCACGGAAATACTACACTATCTCACATGACTAGTTCCCTGGTACACAGTTGTGAACAACTTTCAACCAAATGGTATTGTCCGAATCCCACACAATCTTGAAAACACCTCGGAACAGTGCCGTGCTTTCTGAGTTTTAAGATATCGGTGATTGACCTGTCATTGTCGATTTTGTAGAAGGAACCGTAGCCGTGAGGCACCATGGGAGGAACGTTCCCGATGGGAGTGACATTGTATCCCGTCAGGCTTGTGGACAGGACGAAGTTGCCGCCTCCTCCACTGTACGTAGGTCATGTTTGGAAATCAGGATAAAATCACAACAATCAAACTTGCCTTTTACCACAAAGAGTAAATCTGAATTGGTAAAATACATTATGGAACAAAAAAAGTTTATCTGAATTGGTAAAATACATTATGGAATGAAAAAAGTTCATCTGAATTGGTAAAATACATTATGGAACGAAAAAAAGTTCATCTGAATTGGTAAAATACATTATGGAACGAAAAAAGTTCATCTGAATTAGTAAAATACATTATGGAACGAAAAAAAGTTCATCTGAATTGGTAAAATACATTATGGAACGATTAAACTGTTCTCCAATTATTGAAAACAATCTTAAACGATATAGACTTCAAACAACCTTTGACCCGTTGCTGACGTCACACGTGTTAGTGATTTAGTGGAAAATTCCGGTGATTCCAATTTTTAGAAGTGGAGAACAGTTTAATTGTTCCACAAACATGCCGTTTTATATTCTTTTGTACGGCAAAATCACACAGACATATACGTAAAGTGCATCATCATACGACGTTATGCAGCATTGGTGTATTACATGTACGTCCTATCGGTGCAATTGTTATTTGTTGCAACTAAAATTAGTAAAAAAAATGATGCTTGAAATTGATGATGCAGCTATCAAGGATCCAATCGCTTGGCTTCTCATATCTCAAGAAAACATCGATATGAAGGCAATTTTCTCATTTTTACATACTACATGTATTTTGATCAGAAGAAGCTGAAGAAGTACCTTTTGGCGTAAGCTGGATCAGTGAAGAGCGCCGGCATGCGGCCGCCGTTCATCATTGCAAGGATCTGGAGACCCATCAGATGGCGGTCAATTCCTTGGGGGAAAAAGTCTAGTTAGGAAAAGGTATATAGACCTCCCAACACCATCATGGCGTATCGGGCGCACCTATCTTCTTAGCCCGTGAGCTACATATCATATATAGATGATAAAGAGAGTAGTGGATTTCATTCTAAAAGATGTATTAACCATAATAGCGAAAGACAAACGTGATCTATACATTTCCTAGGGCACTATACTAATAATAATGCCAAAAATAGCAAGATTAAAACCTAAAACTAGCATTAAAACTAGCATTTGACAAATCTTTCCTTCCAAATCAACACTTTGATTTTAAATGATTGGATTAACATTATGACCATTAGTACGCTTGTGGTGACTTTTACAGTACAGTTACACAACTCAAACTTTCAGCAATTAACCATTACCATTGCCGCTCTTTGCTTCCTCCATCAGTTCCACGTGTTTCTTCAGCGCTCGAACCATCAGGCACTTTTTCTCTTCAACCTGGAATGCAAAAAAAACCTGATGGATCACGATCGCTAACATGTTTTACAGCACAAATTCGGCAGAATTCGAACTAGCCCACGCAGCTATAGTGGCAATTACCCTGTTTGTGGATGATTACGCATATAGTGACTGTGTAATATTGACCTGACACAATCTTTTGTCAGTTTTCCGAAAATTTATTTCCCCTGCATGCTTCCACGCTATTAGCAATATCTACAGAAAATGCATCTCTCTCTTCCACTGTGTTCTGCACCTGCAGTCTTGGAACGTCTTGTAGCTGCACTCAGTCTTTCTTCATCTTCTTGTACTCCTCTAGAAGTCTTGAAATCCTGAAAATCCATAGGCTATGCTATAATGGAATATATCGGTGGCCATTGTATCGGTCTGATGACTTACCGTGGTTTTCTCCTCAGCCATGGCCTTGCACCACTCCACCACCTCGGGGGTACAGGACCGGACCGTCTCGGTGCGCCCGTGGTAGAACTGCCGAGTCATGCCTGTCTCATACGCCGGGGCTGGTCTGCAACAAGCAAACTCCACTTTCAATACTTTATACTTGCATTGGTCCTTTCTGGAAATCTTGAAGCATGGCGTTAACACAATTTTGTGACTACCAGTACGGGGTGCGATTGTTTTTTTTGTTTTTGTTTTTTGTCTAGACAAATCATACGAAAGATCAACAAGTTAAATACGTCTTAATCTTATACTATCCTACTATAGGCCCCATCACATTTGTCGTAGGGTCGTAAGATCGTTTTCCTTGGTAAGTCGCACAAAATACACGCGTTGTTACTGAAAATGGAGTCTTAGCTCCGGGAATTTTTTGGTAGTTGGTTATGTCAAAGCCTCAGGTTAGAAATTCTAGACATCAAAATCGTAAGACGACATACGTGTGGTACTAGAAATTATAGAATATTCGTATGACCAAGTCTTCTTTGTATTTCATTAGAAAAGAATGGCCTAAGATTCTATGTCTAATTTTCATGATCCTTACCTTCCATGGATTCTGTAGTATGCCAGCTGCAGCGCACACTGTACGTACGAGTCAGGGTGGAGGTTGAAACTCCGGACAAACTTTTTGCCGTAGTCGGTGAAGTTGGGACAGATGACTTCCAGGTCACATGCCTAGGGTGAACCAAGAGAGTTCAAGATTGTTAAACACATTATAACATTAGAAGATTACTAAACACATTCTCACATTACAAGATTGCTAATGTTAAACACATTATCACACTACAGGGTTGCTAAACACATTGTCACATTGCAATATTGCTAAACACATGACAAGATTACTGAACACAGTTTCATATTACAAGATTGCTAAACACATTATCTCATTACAAGATTGTTAAACACATTCTCACATTACAAGATTGTTAAACACATTCTCACACTACAGGATCGCTAAACACATTGTCACACTGCAAGACTGCTAAACACATTCTCACATTACAAGATTGTTAAACACATTCTCACACTACAGGATCGCTAAACACTGCACACTGCAATATACATTGTATAATATTGCTAAACACATTCTCACACACTCTCATTACACACATTACTGGGGTATACAGCCCTACGTAATTTGCGGGCAAAGTAATTGTTTGTGCCATACTTCAGCAGTGTCTTTTCACACCAAAACATATTATAGAACGATTTAGTATCTACAGATGCATAAACTACTAGTATACCTGGCTGTTATACTGTTGTTCAGTGTGTTTCACGGCCTTTTGGATTTCATCGTCCACGGTGAAGACAAGTTCCTCGGGCGGAGGCAGCTTCCGGTCTGGGACATGCCCCTGGAAGCATCCGATGATGTCAGTCGTAGATGATTTATTAATTTTGATTATTTATGATGGTTAGACATTCAGGTAAATGAAGCATTATACAAAATAAAGTGAACAACCAAATAAGGTCATTAACGAGAGTTCTGCCTTTATTCAATGGGAAATATTATCCAGCAGGACCTCAATATTGTTTATTCAGTGTTGTTGCCATAAATAGGCATCCCAATGTTGTTTTTAACACCTGGTGCTGGTAGGTCTGATCCATCGCCAATTATCTCAACAACCAATCAGGCCATGGTATACAGAAATGCCGCCTGCCTATTGGCCCTTGGTCTCTAGGACCAAATATGGTCATGACACATCAAACAAGAGTCATTTTCGTCTATTTAAATTTCCCAAACCAACACTACATACTTACTAAGACTAGGGCCCCATTTTCACTTTCCCACCACGGTAAAATTGTCCGGATCGAGCCGAATCGATTCGCTTTGATCTGGCTTCGATCCTGCTCGAAGCCAGCACGGAGCCGGATCAAAGCAAATCAATTCGGTTCGATCCGGACAATTTTACCTTGGTGGGGAAAAAGGCCTACAACTCTCGCCGTACCTTCCACGTGCAGTCGTTCTGTTTCAGCTGACAGTCGATGTAGTAGGCACAGTGGATGTGCACCATACCATCACAGGGGGTGTGCTATAGTAAACAGAAAAGGACAAAAAAGGTAAGGCTAACAACGAGGACTTTACAGGTGTTTTCGTTAAAAAAATTAATCACTTCCAATTAACTACGTATTGCTTCATCGCCTTCATGTACCACTTTTTCGTATGTACAACTTTACCCTTAAAAATGAGAAGTCATTCTAAAAACTCTAAATAAAAAGTAACAAAGTAAAGATGAAAGAGGTTTGGGGTCTGTAGCAACTCTGTCTACCGCTTGCCACAATGACGTCACAGGATTGAAGATTATTTTAAAGACCTGTCCGCTTTAAAGAGGAATGTACGCTTAAAATCGAGAGATGTCTGCTTTCTGTTGCCCAGTTTTCAGGCAGAATGTACGTTCTGGAGGAATGTACGTTTATAAGATGAGTTGTTATTGGACAGGGTGTGGGGTACGTACATCGTTATTGGTCGCTATGGTGCCGCTCCGGAAACTCAGGACGCTGACACACTTGTCGAACCACCGGTTCCGCACGCAACCAGCCAGCGACTCCGCAAAGTTCTGAAGATCAGTGGGGCAAGAGAGAGAGAGAGCAGCGTAGGTTACGGTTGTGTCCAACGCCCAATCTTGACAGGACACAGTAGTGGGCAACTATAGCAGGTTGCCAGTTGCTACTGTGACAGTTTTTTTTTACAATACAATACATTCCTTCTTCTCAATACAATACTTTGTTAACTTGAAGAAATCTGGGAAATTAAAACCCTGCGATGTTTACACGGATACAGTTCAAGGTGCAACTGAAATATTTAAATTAGAATGACTCTGATGACGTACCTCGCCGTGATTGGTCGGGAAGGCGTCGTCAAAACTGAAGCAGACCAGGCTCTGCTCGATAACGTCAAGGTTGTAGGCGTTGGCATCGTCCAATTCAATCAGCCTTTCTCTTAGCTGTACAGAAAGGGAAAATGTATTGTTGGTAAAAAATGATTGAATGATTTATAATGGTTGAAATCCTACCCCCCACACCCATATAATCTCTCTTTTTTCGCCCGTAAGTGACCAACCATCTGACGGACCACAATATAACGCATGCATGTTTTATGCAGCTATCGACTGACATACCTTTGCCCACTGGTCCCTTTCCGCAGCCGTTAGAACAGATACTCCTGGACCGGGTTCACATTCTGCCATCCTCATGGCAGCTTCCAATTGTCTGCAAATGTACAAGTAATGTCTCAACATCCTAATAAAAGATACACCTCACGCAGTTGAAAGTTGGAAGAAACTTAGACTTATACCCATGCCGCCACCAACACATAAGACAATACGTAATACACAAGAGAAGCAAAACATGGATTTACGTAGTAATTAAATGAACAAGTGACCAATACCCGTAACCGTACGTATTGCTACAGGTTAATGTGATGGTTGGTTGCTATACATTATATCGCAGAAGACAGAGAAAGGTTTCATGTGATGATCTAAATCACTGGATCAAAATCTCACTCTTGGATCTCCGGAGGTGTGATCGGTTCGTCGTTGTCTCCGATGACTTCGATCTTGAAGATGCGATCATTGTGGAGGAACGTCATGTAAGTCGGACAGGGCCCCTCTGACACTGAGAGCAAGAAAAGAAAAAGACACATAAAAATCAGGATTCGTAGACTTTTGGACGATAAGTGATTGAATCTCAAAACGCAGGATAAGTGGACAATCCCATCTTAGTAATTTTCCAAAAGTCACTCGTCAAAATCTCAATAGTTTGAGTATCAATAAAGTCCGTTTTATTCAAAGCTCAAGACAGCCATTTTCTCTGTCCATGGTGCTGAACATGCAACACTCTGGGAACGAGGTGGTGCCATCCTGGGAGCAAGTGTAACGAGGATGATATCAAGGCTTGCCATTGGTCAAAACTAACGAGGTGGTTACCCAGGCTAACCAATGGCGATTTACGAGGATTATAACAAGGCCAGCCATTGGTCTAACTAACGAGGCTGTTACCCAGGCTGGTGACGAGTTAGCGTACCAGATTTGAAGGCGGTGACCAGCCTATCGATGTCCTGACCAGGCACGCGGGTGGTACAGAAGAACCGGCGGAACTGGTCCATGTCCAGGATGGTCCCGCCTCGGGCTAGCCGGTCAACCGGCAGCTGCTCCCTGTAGGCATAAAGGAGAACCCGAATTTTCATATCGGGAGGATGGGTTCGAGCAAGGTGCTGCCACGGAAAAGAAACGTAGCCATGCTAAGTTACCAATGAAACGTCATATGCATCGATATCACAATGTCGTTTTGAAGGCCCAAGCCTATCATTAAGCCCCTGTCACACATTCACGAACTTCCCACGAACAGGTCGGCTTGTGTTCGGAAGCACTCTGACTAGATATAGTCCACGCCTATATTTTGTACATAAATCAAAACGAATTTGAGTTGAATTGAAGCCAAATTTGATCCCTGAACAAGCCCCGAACACTGCTGACTTGGCAGGTGTTTAAATTGCTGACTTACGGTCGAAAACCAGCCAACTATGTTAGAACTTCCCGAACACCTCAGGAATATTTTAAACATATTGAAACATTAAGCAAGCGCAGCCGAATTTGCCGAACGCCAGCCGAACGCCAGCCGACCCACTTCTTACCTTGGTAGGCGTTTGGCTAGCGTTCAGGAGGCCAAATTTGGCTATGTGTGAGGGAGGCTTTAGGCAGATTACAAGACTTACGTCCTGAGTAGTTTCCAGAACTGCAGGAGGTGGTACACGAAGAGCGCCCCTCTCTCAGCGGTGGTGCCCTCCTGAGGCGGCCAGCCGTGCTCGAAGTACGGCCCGGACCCTGCCATGTTCAGGTTCAGCGGTAAAGGCTTCCGGAACCGGAGGTACGCGAACTCCAGCCACCAGTCTTCAAGCTGTGGACGGGATAGGCACGTTTCTTAAAATCTTCTTCTTTATCTAGCTACGGGCTAGTAACATCAAGTTCCCTTAAGATGTCCTATTTTGTCATTTTTTCATGGTGTAAAGCGTACTGCAGCTTACTCTGTGATTTTCTATTGTGAAGTTATATGATAAAGTTATACCCAGTTCTTGCGGGTGGACGCGCGGTCCAGAAGCTGTCTGTGAAGTTCCGGCCCGTCCCCGTCTAGGAACTGCCGCACCACCTCCTCCGTCTGCTTGTATTCCTCCGCGGTCACGTGAGGTTTCACTGAACGGAAAAAAAGGGGAAATATAAAAATTAAGTGCGACAAAAAAATGATTGTATCATTGTTTGTGACTGCGTCACTCTCTTTGTGTGTGTGCGTGTGTGTGTGTGCGTACGTGCGTGTGTGTGTGTGTGCGTGCGTGCATGTGACAACAAACATCTGGTTGTTACAAATAGTTACTTCTTAGTATCTTCTCTACCTGCATTATCTTTTAAAAAACATCAATATTTATAAGATTTTCTAGTTAGCTAATGCAGATATAGAGCAAATGACAACTACGCCAATGCCCTTCATGATCTTTATCAATACCCCCCCCCCCCCCGATGTTTAGTGGTCTGTCCCTTTACTATATCTACATGGTAGTTATACAGCTCCAGCCATGTGTTGCAGACACCACTGCTTGAGTAGTAAGGTACAATACAGAGCGAGGTGGTCGCCCGAGTAACAGTCGTCACAAAACGTCAACAAACACGTTGTTAGTGTGTGACCTGGACGTACTTTACGTGAATCAAATGTGTGCAAGGGCGTATCACAGGTGTACATGTACATGTACTTGTGTGTCAATCGGTGTTGTCTCTACGTATTGTATTGTTTTTTTCTTCCTTTTTGTTGTGTTATTTTTTTTGATGCCGTAAGCTCTATGACAGTAACAACTTACTTTGGAAGATGCATTGAAACCCTGTGTTGCTGATACCCATTTGCAATAAATTTCTTTAAAAAAAAACTTCTAAAAAAGCTTCATCTAATTTTGTAAAATGTATGAAATATATAGAAAAACTTTTGGCTACAAGCATACAGAGTAGTCTCTCCAAGGTAGTTGGTCTTGTACTTAACTGGGATGAAATTTCTGAGAATTTTAGAAAGAGAAAGAAGAAAGACCAACGTGTCGGCAGAGAAACACCCATGGGCAGAATTAGTTAAAATGTAGCTCAAGAACTTTAGAAGAACAGCCCAATGCCCTTTAAGGTATTTATGAGTCGCCCCTTTTAGTTTGTTTTGGAGCTACTGCTAGTATTAGCAAGTCCTTAAAAAGCAGCCATAATTGGAACTATTGAAAGCAGACAACCTGGCTTGGGGCCAAATGTACGGTATGTGGTCTTTGTTGACATTTGGGGCTGTCCATGCATGAAGGAACGGCCTTGTTCTGAAGTCTTTACACCAATGTTTTGGTCTATTCACGTGGAAAGGTCAAAGCGTTATACTAGTATGTTTTTGTGAAGGTATCCATAGTGAACATGGGTTGGCCATAAATACAAGGTTATACGCCTAACGAAATTTGTTTAACTCTTCTCCCCAACCCGATTTTGTCTGAATCTTGAGACTGTCCCCATCAACCATTTTCCGTCAGAATTTTGGGAATTTTTCGATGGGATAGTTGTTTCAACTTAGTAAGTACATGTAGATAAATGGCTAGAATATTGACTTAGAAAAATCGGGTTTCCAAGCCCTAAAAACTGTGGCACTGGTTGCCTTTAAGATATGTCATCCAAGAAAGTAAAATTATGACAAGTTTTGTCTTAAGTTAGCTAAAAGGGAAGAAACGAAAACACTTTTTGAAGGATTTTGGCGGGAAAGAGACATGGATATTCAAGAAAGAATCGACACAAATTGAATTCAGTCTATTGAAATGAAATCGTTTGGAATAATTCTCTGCCCAGCTGCCGCCAAGCATCTGCTCTGCGAAGACTTATCAATGCACTTATCAATGTACACCCTTGAGATATCTGTAATCAAACCATATATATTCCTATACCATATAATACAAGGGATTACAAGGAATCCTTAAATGTGGTCTACACGTGGTCTGAAAGTCATCTTTGTAATCTTTAACAAATCCCAGCTTTTCGCACCCCTTTCTCGTGGTTTTGACGACACGTTCAGACTCCTGTGGAAATTCCGCCTGGTCATGTGCCGGCGGTTATCAGCTAGGCCAAAGCAAGTAATGTCTATGGATAACATGACCGTGCATTAAACTTTCGCCTGATTTTAGAGGAAAACATACCGAAAATAGGCAAATACTAGTAGTTGCAAATGCCGATCGGTTCAGAGACCATCAGGGATCCAGCAAACTTGAGGCACAATTGCTCGCGTTTGATCGCAAATGTTGACACTGACATGTTCCGTCACATCTAATCCAACCCTGTATAGTAGGTCCCAGCTAGCCGTTTTGCTAGAATTCCTTGTTAATATATTGTTGTTTTTACACATCTACAAGGACAGGTAATACTGTGGAATACAAAATAAAACATCAGTTTGGTTGTGATATTGCGTTTTTTCACCTCAATTCTTGTTTAACAAGGGTTGTGACAAGCTCAAAATTTGAAAATGAAAGAATCTTGTTTTCTTGGCCCGCCTTGTTTTTTTCGCCCTATCGCATTAGATTTGGAGTCTGCAGAGGATGTCATCCATAAATTTTACTTGCTGTGGCCTAAAATACTTAGGGGCTTCTGCATTTTTCTCAGCCCTTCAAGTCACAGGACCAGCCACTACAGTCATATCAACAGACCCACCCGCTCTTGTACAAGTTTGCTAAACACAATCGTCAAGCAGAAGGAATAGGAAAGATCGTAAATTTTCCTCCTTTAAAGACAGAACAGCAACAAAACTTTACGATCTTCCCTCCTACTAAAAGATAAATATTTGGCAAGCTTCTGGTCTGCTTGGAGTTACGCCAATGTGTCTGTCTTCTGAGACTGTAGACTATCATGTGAAGGGGAAACCAAAATATAAACTACAATTGCAAGGTGGCACATACTTGACTATCAAAGACTCAAACCAAATATAAACTACAGTTGGAAAGGAAGCCAGTAGGGGCTAAAATGCAATTTTACAGGACACTGTATGCCAAAAAAAATTGCAAATGCACACAGAAATATATAATTATGAAAATCTACAATTTGTTTCTGTACTGAAACCAAATGTACAAGCAACCAATGGTACAGAAATGTGAGCATGAACTTTAAACTTTTATAATAATTCAGCGCCAAAATGTTTTGTTCACGACGTGACGATCTTTTACTTATTTAACTTTACAACTCTAAGAAATGTCTTGACGTCTCTAAAGGAATTTCGAGGCCTTGAGGCGGATTTCTAGAATCTCTGTTGCCGCTCACCTGGTAATTTGTGTCTCATTGTGACTGGTTGACATCATTCAAACAATATAGTACGACCCTTTTGAAAGCTTTTGGAAACGCACATACTTGTACCTGTCGATGTCTTTGTTATGGAAATTATGAGAAATAGCTCTGTTACTATGGTCTCGTTTTGTATACAAATAAACCTATACTATATGATCGGTGTTTGCAAAATAAAAACGCCGTCAGGTATTAAGAACATCCATAACATTATAGATAACTTACTTATTTGATCTGAGAATGTGTAGATTGTCTGACCTGATTCCAGATACCTGTCCATGGTATGTTGCAAGTCTGGGACGGGCAGGGGAGGGAGGGTGTCCTGGTGTTGCCATGTTCTCTCCCCTAGCGCTTTCAGAGCGAACTGCAGTACCATGCGATGTAGCCGCTCCGGGATCCACTTGAACTGAGAAAGAAGAAGCCCAAAACAATCTTAAATTTCCACTTTCCTGGAGTAATTTCAGGTGGTTTGTGTCTGGATTTTTGTCGGTATGGCGAGTTTTGTAGGGCGTGACGGTGGTGGGGTGGGGCACCGCCCATGCCAAGCCCCTAGCTCTGCCTAGCTAGTCAACGCTCTAACCGCTAACTACACATATTTGGCTAAATACTTTAACGACACACAGTGTACACCTTCCATATACTGCCACAGACGTACCTGCACCCATGTGGACAGAAACTCGGACAGACGGTTGTAGAACGAGTGCACGACTTGCGGTAGCGACATTTTCACGGTGTCGGATTTCGTCTGAACAAACGCCTGACTGACTGAGATAGACTGCTTGCTTGAACACACTTTAGGTGCCCACCAAGAGACCCGCACTGTATGTGTGTTTCTCCGAACGATCTTCCGTCAGAAATGCAGCACGAGAATTATTCCGAATTTGTGTGCAGACGTCGGTGCAGGCACAAGACACTACCGGCCGGACAGGTTGATTTACACCGGGAGTGGACGATATGTCACGCCTGACAGGCTCAGTACTGCTACCGGTGACAGGCAGACAACACGGGGAGAACCTCAGCTAAACGTCCGCGAGGTCATGTAGGCATGTGATCAGCTAACGTTCAGCCTGACATGCAGATAGCAGGCATTTCAGGAACCCGTCGTAAGACGAGTACATGTAGATATCTGGGGCGGGGATTGTCCAATATACATCCCAGGGGAGGGACCGGTTGCTTGAAGACAAAGCGTTTACGCATACTAGTAACAAGTTACATACTTATAATATAACCTCCGGCTAGTTGGGCAATCCTGGCTGTATATATCTGTTTATACAGTCTAATAAATCAAATCAAATCAACAATAATGTTGTACCTATATAGATAATGTTAATAATTACTTCGTTCTTATTATTGGTTCCTACTACTTGTTATTATGATGATAGTATTTCCATATGTAGTCTCTAAGATTCGCTGCTTTTTCCGTATACCTTGTACAAATCAATTCTTGCTCAATAAAATTCTGTATGCATTTAAATTATTTCTCTCCATTTAGCACCAACATTTAGTTATAATTACGCCATTAGATATCGTACGGACAGAAGAACTTCGCTCATTGTCAAACAATACAGCACGAAACCAATATTAATTTTACTTATGAGGCCTCTCCATATTAGAGTATATGCATTGATTTCTTGTCGTGTTGGAGACAATTCATTTCTCCTTGTGTGCAATTCTCAGCTATTGGCTGATAATGTTGGCGTCAGGCCGACAAAATGTGCGTAAGTGCAATATAAATTATTGACAAGGTTGGCGTTCTCCGGTATACCAAGATATTGGTATATTGATTTTCGTATTGGCCACTGCTGACAGTTTCAAATTGCATTGTCTGGAGGAATAGAATGATAGATGCCATAGACCTTGTTTTGTTTTGAAATGTGATAAAACTCTCTGTCAAAATGTTTTGATAACAAGCCAGTTGGAAACGAAATATAAACTAGAAAGGCAACATCTGCAAAGCAAATGCATACTTTTTACCTTCGCATATGGTCTGCTCTGTTAATTCTTATTCAAACACATTCATATATAGGAGTCTAAAATCCCTCCTGCTATAAAATTGCAACATGATGTAACACAACACTAGTTACCATGGTGACAGGCGTCTGGTTCAGGTCATTGACCTTATTTACTTGGAGAAGAAGAAGAGGAAACTGAGCAAAAACAATGTTTTCTTTCGGTAAACATAACAAATTCTTAGGAAAACATTTCTTCATCCATCCATCCATCCGTCCATCCATTCAGTTTGATTTCATTAACGTTATACGTTTATATCTTCAAGTTCCATTGAGGTTGAAAGGTAATTGTGTTATTTCTAGAACCGTACGTGTGATAGAGACCCTGGAATAGTTTTGATCGTGCCCAGGCCATCTCTTATTTCGACAGTAACGACCTTGAAGTCCTGATCTGTCTGGTCTGGTTTGACGGGACCATCCATTTTCGCGTCCGGGACCTGACATGATCTATAGCTACAACCAGGGATGGTTCATTTTAGATTATGAGGGGTCGATAAATACACTACGTTGTTCATTAGAGAGAAGGGGGGTGGAAACAAGCAAACAAACTAGAGAGGTAACATTTACAAAGTAAATGCATAATGTTAACCTTCGCAAATGGCCTGCTCTGTTAATTCTTACTCAAACGCATTCATGGTGACAAGTGTCTAAATCCCTCCTGCTATAAAATTGCAACATGATGTAACTCAACACTAGTTACCATGGTGACAGATGTCTGGTACAGGTCATTGACCTTATTTGTTTGGGGATGAGGAAACAGAGAAAAAAACAATATATTTTCCTCCGGTAAAACATAAACTGATTAAATGAAAAGAGACGGAAATTGATGAAACTATTTGACGAACCGCCAGTGAAAATGGAATAGTCCAAAGGCAAGCCCGCAGCATGATATCAAACATATGATATGGATATGGAGAGTTTGTGCATGACCTAGAGGCTATTAGCTTAGGGTCTGAACTGGCAAGATTCCGACACGGCCTCAATACCGGGACAAACCAGTTAATTTTGTCCCGCCTGGGTGCCCTACTAATATTTCTATAGTGTGGTGAGAGATGTTGTGTAATTATAACGAAGGCAATGTTTATTCCAGGCTTATACATGAGTCCTGGGTAGCTTTTCTGGTTGTTGAAGGTATTGCTAACAAATTAGTATAAGAGCTGAAGAAAGTATTGGGTCTGATTACCTCCGCGTTTTAACATCTCATGACCTAGACATTCTAGGGTCACGAAATTTTGGATGGTAGGTAGCTCTTGTGCTCGGAAAGAAGTGACGTGAGTTTGGATCTTCTAGCGGCTTGCTCCTGAACTGCAGTGGCTCTTATTGAAAAATATTCAAACGAGGCTAACTAAATAATCAATTGTGCTTAGTTTGATTTTGTTCGTGTTACCACGTTTTAGGGGATTATTTTATGTGTGGGGCTGTACATTGCTACATATTAGCCGGTACGGCGACATTTGCATCATTTTTCCACTTCAAGACACACCCACCAGTCACAATCTGCGAGAAGACAAATTTGAAGTAAAAGCGTACAGCAAAAAAAAAATCAAACGTTGTACACTGAAGTACATCTAATGCTATTGTAGTTGCCATACAGAATGACCTTTTGACAGTTGATAGTTGCCATTTTCCCTTCACCCAGTCCCTCATACCTTGTATTTCTCCAGTGTTTCTCGGCTGTTGGCGAACCAGACGGCGTTGTTGTACTGGCCAACTTTCCTGCCGATGCCGACTAGTCCCGCCAGGTGGCGCAATGACTCCGCTAGAGTGCTGAGCAAAGTGTCGAGTGTAGCAATCTCCATGGTTGGAATTTGAAACTAACATTAACGTCAAAACTCTAATGTAATCAAACCATACGGGTGACAAACGACGTGTCTGCTGTCCTATGTGTCTAGAAATCCCCCCCTAGGGGATATAGATAGTGAGAGAAACTGGTTCGGTGAGTAACCTTCTATTCATAGGCCATAATTGAGCTATTGTGATAATTTGGTATGTCAGCTTTACCACAAGCACAAGAGATCACATGTCATTATTATGGGGACAAGGTTGACCATCTGTAGAATGTTAGATCAGACTTATGAAAAATTGATAGCTTATGGTTTTCTCATATTATCATGTTTACCGAAGGAAAACATAGTGTTTTTGGTCTATTTCCCCTTCTTCTTCTCTAAACCAATAAGGTCAATGACCTGAACCAGACGTCTGTTACCATGGAAACTTGTGTTGGGTTACATCATGTTGCAAATATATAGCAAGAGGGATTTAGAATCCTGTCTGGCCATATATATGAATGTCTTTGTCAATGAGTAAGAATTAACAGAGCAGACCATATGCGAAGGTAAACATTTGCTTTGCAAATGTTACCGTTCTAGTTTCAATTATTCCTTTGGTAGTTTTTTGAAGTATCGTAGAGTGGAAGTTGTTGTCACCGAGTACAGTAGGGGCATATCTTCCCTGAATGGCTTTAAACTAGGTTTAGACGGGCAAAAATTATATGTAGGCGTGACAGGCTGTTCAATGTAACGTATAAAAGATAGCACACCGGTAGTTGGTTATACCTGCTATACAATACAGAATACAGGTGTCAAAGACTTGATGTCAAAGCGTTTTTATCATAACTCTCTGTATACGTAACGTAAACTACAAGAGAGTCAAAGACAAAGAGGGTTATGATGTTTAATACTGCTTTTTTTTCAAGCAGTATCAACTGCAGTACAATTATTCGTCACAATGTGGCGCTTCAGAGGATGTAGAAGGACCGCCATCGAAAACCTACGGTTTACTTCAGCAACTTGCAAAGAATAAGGCTTCCATTCCCTGCACCTTTTTCTAAAAAGGAGCTCAACAAACTTATCAAGAAGAGTAGGACTGACCCGATATCCTCCATTTTCTCCATGCCCCACCCTCTCCAAATCACCAAACTACCGCGGAAAAAGAAAGATCTGGCCACCCCTCCTTGACATCTTTCATGGAACAATCCAAAGATGATTATTCCCAGTTTGCTCATCTTTCCCAGTACGTTGTAAATCACACAGCCACCACCAGTTACGACCTTCCTGTCCCAGCCAAGTTTACCCCGGGTTACATCATTGTTCGTGACTCCTGCCGCCCCCGTAAAGTCCCGGTGTGACACGGGCTGAGTCAGCGGTGCCCTGACCTCAGCTGTCCCGCCTGGGAACACACCGGTAGTACGGTGATATTTTTAGGAACTTTTCCGGATTGATTGTGATGACTAGAATAACTAGATCTGACAGCTTTGAGTCAGCACATGGAGAGACCCTGGGTGCGGCGAAATGTTCTCTCAACGGACAAACTCCCTTGGCATACTCTCTTTTTGGCCGATTTCTACTCTTTCCAGCCGCCTCCCCAAGCCTGGTAGAGGCTACATTTGACTCTGAACTGAACCATGCGAAAACGAGCACCAAGACCACGTCTAGCGAGATATTAGAAGTTAAGCAAGGACAACAACAACAACAACAACAACAATAGTAGCCTGGGTGCCATCCTTGTTGAAACGGGGGCTCCTTGCACTCGCTACCCCTAAAAAAAAGACGTTTTTTCGGGAACAAAAACGGATGGCCCCCAGGCTACTGACATTTATGTAAAATCTCTGGAAAGTCGTCATCATCATCATTATCTACCGTATCATGCTACATTGCACTACGTCATGAGTACTCTCTCTCTCTCTCTCTCTGTCTCTCTCTCTGTCTCTCATCTCTCATGCTTGAGTTGAGCTTGGAACATTTTAATATCAAGTTCTGTACATCCATAAGATTCATTTATTTCATAAAAGCAAACTTTGCAAATTGTTTCTTCTAAAAATTAAACTGTAAGAAACTCTAAGAAATTTACAGACTCACCGGAATTGTCTTGTGATGTCTACATGAATGTGAAACGAAAGGCATCCTGAAAAAGAGGACTATCAGAAGACGATATCTTCGCTCGCTCATAGTCATACGTTGCACGATTGTCGTACACGATCGCAAAACCAAGGGACATTCTTTATTGGCACATTCGTGAAGTTCGTGCATATGTGTCGTATGTAAAAAGTCCAGCTGTCTTAGCTTGTTGCCTAGAAAGTTGTCGTAGATCCTTGTCGGCGGTTGGTTGTGTTTGGAAATCCTACGACATCAAAATCGTACAACGACCTGCGATACGACTGGCCCCCAACTTCGGGGCAAAACGCTTACGAATTTGTTCCTGCCAGTCAAACGCTGACGTATAGTGTATTAATTTCTTCTCACGACCTCTGACTTGCGCTCGTCCCTCACGGGGTTTGTCAGCTGTCACGAGGGCGAGCTTCCCGCCCCGCCCCCGGAGTAAACCTTCGCCCCGCCCCGCTCTGACTGCCATATGTGCTGCGGTCACAGTTGGACGTGTATCATTCACTGGCGAGCAGCTAGCTACGACAGACGCATAGGAGAGTGTGTAACCGTGTAACGCCAGTTTTCTGGCAAGCATCGCTTCCAGTAGTTTTACCGTGGAACGGTTGTGGGTACACGCTCTTGTACTGTGAACCCCTGAAGGAAGATTTCTGTCATCCGCTAGAGGTTTTTGACGGTGAGTACATGACAGGGACGGTGCCTGGATGATACGCTAGCTGTGGTATCATCATCACACGACAAGATAATCCCTGACAGAAAAGGATTTACAACAGAGCTGTTACTGTAGTGAAGCGCTCACGTACTCCGTAGAACGCGGAAGTTTACACCGAGCACTCAGACATCGGCCGGCGGGCATCGGTGCCTACCTACCGCCGAGGACAGACGGTGCAGAACACGCTGGATTAAGTCAGGTCGGGAATAGACACTGTTGTTGCACACGCGTCGGGTACAATTTATAGCAGGGCAACGGGTCATTTCCTAATTTTACGCTGGACATTCCAGATCGTCGACGCGCGGCTTCAGATTTGCGGTGCAGGCTGACTCATCCAGGCGGTATCCGGACGACGTCAGCTCCGCCGACACGGCATCAGCTCTCCGGTGATGACGACAAGTCCTCTTTCTCTTCTGTAAACCGGTCCACGCAAGTCGAACACTGTCCTTATTCGACTGGCTTCATCGACGTGACCTACAATAAGTTCTGCTTTCATATTTATGACCTAATTTGCAAAAATAGACAAATGTTGGAAGCCAATCAAGTCGCACTTCCTGAAAATTGACTTGTGCAGTTTGAAGAGGAAAATACGCACTAAAGCGTTTCTACGGTCAGTCAGCACAAAATTATATAGCAACCACGGACACAGTAGTATTTGGAGCTTGTGGGATTCGAACCCATAACTTCGTGTCTTGTGCGATCAGAAACACTTTGGACATGGCAACGGCAAGGTCACCGATTGAGGTGCTCCTAACGGAGGAGAAACTTCAGGACTTCCAGCGGAAAGCGGCGATGTCCACCGAGGACGAGGAGGACAATGACTCGGGCAGCGAGAGCTCCACGTCCGTACACTCGTTCGGTCGGCACGGTGCCGAGAAGAGGCCGCAGAGGAGGAAGAAACCCAAACTGACTGGCGTCAGCAAGCAGAGACAGCAGGCAAACGCACGGGAGAGAGACAGGACGCACTCCGTCAATACAGGTGAGAGAAAAAGATGCCATCCACACGCAATTAAATGTTCTTGTCTGTACAAATTTTGCCAGCGGGGGACGGACTACCAAATGTTCCTATTCACTTTTCCCCTAGAAAACATATATATTAGCAGAACATAACATAATTCGTAACACACAACTACATACACTCTGTAAACTTGATTTTGTCGAGAGATATCGACGAAACGTCGACACTGTCAGAGCTGTTTTTCTAGAAATATATTCCGGGCACTTTTGTTGGTCTGTCCCTAGCTGACTGTTTTCCCCTTCCTTCCCCCTTTTAGTTGACTCTGAGAGCAATCGCGAGAAAGCCCGGACTCAGAATTTGAACACAGGTAAATGAAGCTCATTGCATGACTGCATGTAGACATAATGATAATTTCTGTACCCGTTCTTCTAACAAAATTATACTATACCAAGGCGTAATGTACTATAGAATTGTGACATTTTGGTATAATTTTGTAACAAATTATGCTTCATCATCAAATTCATATTGTGTATGTACAAGGGCTCTGAGAAAGATGTTATTATGTATTCTCACTGATTCTGTATCGGTACTGATGCTTTGTAAACTTTCAAAGAACAATTGTTTAAAGCGGATATTCTATGGTCGATTTTTCTACTAATTTGGTTGGTTGATGGGTTAATTGATTGATATTGATTAATCTGTTAGTTGGTTGATGATTGGTTGAGTTAACGTTAACTAACCGTGAGGCTATTTTGTAACACCCCTCCCTCAGCCTTCACCACATTGAGAACGATGATACCCACCGAGCCAGCCGACAGAAAACTCTCCAAGATCGAGACACTCAGACTGGCTACGTCTTACATCAGGTACGTATGGATTCGAAATTCCATATACGGTATAGAGAACTCGTATCGTAAATATTGTACGTTTGGGAATGCATCTATACCAGCGACACCTGTGCTGCAGCGCAATGTCAGAATTGCCCTGAGGAAGATGACAGACGGTCACCGAAACGTCGGCCGGCTGTGAATAAAACACTTGGTTGTGTACAAAAGAGTCTCTTTACTCCGTTTGCTCACAAAACTCCTTTTTTTATACTTTCCAAGCAGAGGTTTTATCCTTTGTGTACGCCAGTCTAGGGTGGCAAATGGAAACTGCCTGGCCAATTTGATACTGTCTTTGTAGCCACCAAAATATCTGGTCGGAGATTATACTTTTTAGGACCATCGTAGCTGGACATGAAACTTCCATAGGATGACCACGACTTTTTACTCTACTGAAATATTACTCTATTTGCGACATTAACATGTCCTCTTGATTTCATTTTTTTTCTGTACCATAGTATCCTATTACCATGGCAACGTTAACCTCTGAAACCCGACAAAATAAAGGAAGTGCAGAGATTGTAAGAAAAACAATTGACGTGGTGATGTCTTCTTCAGTGGTGTCGAAATGAAGACTGAACTGACCACACCCCTCTAGTGACAACTCTTATACAAGTTTTAGAACAGTAGTCTACTGTTCTAAAACTTGTATAAGAGTTTACTACATTGTATTTCTAATAGAGAAATATTCTAAACCATATAATACAAAGATCTAATGTATTGATTGCACTTGTTATCCTTTCTTCAGTCACCTGGCTACAGTACTGATGTACGGAGATGGGTGCTTGGAGGCTCAGCCTTGTTTGAGAAGACAACAATACCTCCATCCGGGCACTGAGAACAAGCCAACGCCCATCTGTACCTTCTGTCTGGCACACAAAAAGAACACGGTAAGCTTGTTTGTTTATTTTATATTATCTAAAACGACAACATTTCATAACACACTCAAGTTATAATAATAACTTATCAACTTATTTTACGCTGCCACCAACGCAGA